TTTGCATGACACCTCTGTAGCTTTCCTGAAATACCCTTTTCAGTTGTGGACAGAGTGTAAAGGCAGGCTCCACGCTGCCCTACTGTAGTGGAGGAATTTTATGAGGAAGGTCTCATAGAGATTTTTTTCTTTCTTTCCTCCCATCACAGAAGGTGAAATTGGACTTACAGATACCAAATTTATAAACAATCCTATCATCATCTAAACCAGCTGCCTTTGTATACATATATTAAAAGTTTGAACTAGTCTAATCTGTGCATTATTGTATTATAAAAGTGTTCTGTTAAACACCTCAAAGATAAAAGCAAAAGAAAGACAAGCTTTGCTACAGATTCTTTTTAGTTTTGTAATTCTCAATTTTGAGCTCTGAGTATCATAAGAGATCCATTACACATACATTGCACAGAAGATGTTTTACTGATAGTGTAGCAGTGATAGTGGTTTATTTTCATTTTAATTTGTGGATTTATACATTATATCACCATATAGGAAGAGAGTCACATTTTAAACTAAATCTGTGTTTTATTTCAAGCCTTAAATTGATTGTTGATCTGCCAATAGAGTTTATTTCGCATCCAGGTATCAGATTTCAAATGGTGTAACAACATGATGCAGATTTTATGTCAACTTAATGGAGATGTAACTATTTCCGTGCATGTTAAAATCTATGCTGTGAGTACTGCAAGACTTATTGTAATGATAACTTCAAGAAACAAAAACAATTGTTGAAACCATCAGTAATATTCCTTATTTTGTAGAACTGATGCTTCAGCACATATGAAAAATATTTTATTGTGGTTTTACTTTAAAAACAGTTCAAGGGCTGTGTGCATTTTTGAAGCTGAAAAATTAAAATGCATATATATGTTATATATAGTTCTATTTTTTATCATTATTATTTTATTATCTTTTAAAAACCTGGTCCATATTAAATTTCGTATGCCAACCATTATACATGTAAGATAAGTGAATTATGAATTACTATGTTATGCATAAATGTAGTTTCACTGTAGGGGAAGCAATCCTCAACAGACGAGGCATTGCTTGTCAGGTTAGTAATATACTTCTTACATTTGCGTAAAAGAATAAAAAGACATGTTTTCTTTTCAAACACCTGGTGCAAAATTTTTATAATACAAAGCAAAGTAAATCTCAAAGTCTCAGCTATATGTAAAGACCACAAACTTCATAAAAGGACAGCTGTTGGTCCTTTTGAGCTACAGAATATTCTGTATAGTTTTGGAATAATATCTTACAGATTTTAAAAAAATCATTTAGATTTTGATATGTGTGGGTAAACTGATTTCTCTAGGAAAACATTTGAGAAATTGCTACAGTATTTTATTAGGACATATTTTACAAAACAGAGCAAAATATGTTCTTAAAGCTAGATATATTTTCTTCGGAAGTCAAGATGATAATGATGATTAAAAAGAGAGAATGTGAAAAAATTGTAGGAATCTTCTTTTAGGACACTATGTGTTACAGATGTTAAAAATTTATATTTAACCAGTTTTCTGTGGGGAAATTTGGTGGATATCTATAGTTACAAGAAATTTCAGTAAAAATTATCTATGAAGCACCATCCACCTACGCTTTATTGATTAGCAGAAGTGTTTTGTCTGATGCAAGTTACTGATCTGAAACTTTATCAAGTATTTTTCTCAAATTCCCTTTGGATGTATTTTCACACTTGCCATTCTCTGCTACATTTTACTATATTTGTCTTACTGTTTCTTTTTACATTTAAGAAATATGCTGCAAAAGTTCTAGTTTTGTTAGATCTACTTGGTTTATATTAGAAAACATTACTCAGTTTTTCAGTATTCTATATTTCAGTATGTTGTTCACAGTTTAGCAAAATATTTTCCTCCTCAAAGTCCCTTACAGTTTCGAATGTATCATTTGAAAGAGATGGGCTTGGGCAGATCTGGATGGGAGCCAAAGCTTCCCTGGAATTCAGAGGCATGTGGGAGGTGGAGATTGTAGTTTGATTTACTAGGTGCTCCAAGTTCTAACTTCCACATTAGCACCAATTGGCATTGCTCATGCACTCCAGCTTCTGTTGCAGCTACATGGTAGCTCAGCCCTCCTAATTTCTGCGCAGCTGGGTTCATACCTGATTTGATTAATAGTAAATCTATATTATAGGTTCAAAAGAATCCATTGTTACCATATGGTTTAACTTTCTGCATACCACAGAGTGTATTCTTTGATCTTTTTCTTGCTTTTAGTCTCGTAGCTGTGGCTGACATAGAGCTTATCTTTTAGAAAAACATCCAATCTTGACTGAAAAATTTCCACTGCTGGAAAACTTATCATCGCTCTAAGTAATTTCTTCCAAAGGATAATTAACCGCACAATGGAAAACTTGCACTTTACTCCTCATCTCAGTTTTAGTACCTTTAACTTCAAATCATCAAACCTCTGTGCTAGACCGTAGAGCTCTCTGTGATCACGTTCCTCTTCCTCATGGATTTATTTATTCACTATTAATAAATCATACTTTAACTTACTTTTTAATAAATTGAATAGTGCTTCTCATGTCTGTCTTAATGCAACTATTTTCCAGGCTTACAATCATTTTTATTTCTCTTCTTTGAATCATCTCCATATTTTCACTTTACTTCTAGAACTGTTAAAAGGAAAATTAGACACAGAATTTCAGTAGTAGTTGAACAAGTGCCTGAAAAGAGATAATACCTATGTTCCTATTCAGTACTTATACATCCCAAAATTCATCCTTTTAATCAGATGTTACACTGTAACCTCAAATTCATATTCAGCATCCCAAGTCTTTTTATATGCTCTGGTTTCCAGGATAGAACTCCTACATTGAGCTATATCCTGTTTTCATTATTTCTAAGTGTATGACCTTAAATTTAAATATAAAAGAAACTGTACTGGGCAGATAAAAAGAAAATGTATCCCAATAACCTGACTGCAACCTGACTATCATGGGAGATATGATAATCGGGATGGAAGTTTTCTGTGGTGAAAGCTCATCATTTGCACTCCAGATGTCCTGAGCTCTGATTTCCACAAATGTGGGAAACCTGACTGCATAACTTATAGGAGTGTGAAACTGTTCATATTGGACCAAGGCAGAAGAAACCCAGGACCATAAATGAATGCCCAGGGCAAAGTAACAACAGGGCAAACACACAGCTTTCTAATACTCTCCAAGCCCCCACCTGTTTTGAGCTCAGGGAGTTGAAAATTGAATGAGATAATTTATTTTACTGACCTTCAATGAAATCTTTTAACTTTGACAGAATCCTTTCACAACTAGTTCCACTAGTCTGTTGCCTCATTTGAAGGACCAGCTCCCTTTATGTCTTTTTAACCTGAGTCCTATTATACCTAATTATTAAAAGAGATTATATCTGTATTAAAAGAGACATTGGACTGTCAATCCCTATCTATTCCGCTCAATGCCATCCTGAACATTGTAGACCTTTATTGTATCCTTTCAGACATCCCTCTTCTAGACTGAAAAAGTCCTTGGATTATCTTGGCTGCTCTTCTCTGAAACTCTTCCAGTGCTATAGTAACCTTCCTGAAACTGAGGTTGCAGAACTGCATGAAGTTTTTAAGGTTTATGTGAACCATTGATTTTTACAGTGGTATAGTGATATTCTCTGTTCACTTTTTTTTCCCAAATAAGTCCTAATATTCCATTTGTTTCTTGATTGCCATCTACCCTAACCCCAAGATGTCATTTCTAATTTTTAATGGTCAGCTGAAAACCTATCATTTCATGTATGGAGCTAGGATTGCTTTTTCTGATGTGCATCACTTCTTCTTATTTGCTCATTTGCTATTTTACTGCCTTCTTAGTCTTAGTAAGTTCTTTAGCAGTTTGTTACAACTGACCCTGAATCATCATATCATCAATGAACTTTGTCACATAACTAGTTCTTCCATTTTTCAGGGTGTTTATGAGTATGTCAAATTGTACAACTTCAACACAGAGCCATGGAACTCCACTAAATCACATCCCTTTATTGAACTGAGAGTTTGCTCTTATCCCGTTTCCTGTCCTTTAGTCATTCTTTTCAATCCATGCAATGACCTATCCTCCTATAATATAGTGGCTTAGTTTCTTTAAATGGTATCAGGAAGGCACTTGTCATAATCCTTATGGAGTCCAGGTAGACGTATCAACTAGATCACCATTGCTGCAAGCTTGGTAAATTTTGTAAGGTAGGACTTTGTTTAACAGATCCATGGTGACTCTAAGTATATCATATTGTTGCAAGAATATTGTATTTAGACAGATGTCTGCTAATTCTGTTCTTTATTACAGTTACCAATTTGTCCAGCACAGGCATATGGCCAAAAGGCCTTGGACAACCATTGAACTCTTTTCAAAGTTGACATCACATTTGTTGTTTCCCAGGACATCGGTAACAGGGCAGTTTGAAGCAAGAGGATACATGCCACTTCTACTGAATCAACTATGATACCCTGTTTCCTTTATAACTTAGTTGAATACTATCTAATAATGGCAATTTGTTATTGTTCACAATGTCTGAGATTTTTTTATAAAAGCTTTCTACGGTGACTTCAGTTTCAGAAAGAAAATGTCCTCCACAATGGAAGATTCCAGTTGGAATCTCTTTGGTTTCTTCCAGAGTGAATACCAATGCAAAGAATGCAGATAGCTTCTCTGAAATGTCTGTATCTTCACTGTGTGTTCTTTTGCTCTCTGCACTCATACAAAACTCACAGTACTCAACTGCCTAATTTACTAATCCATTCACAGCAAGCCATATTAGTAATTTGTCACCTGTGCTATTCACTCTCACTTCAATCTATATGCCATTTGCAGACTTTATCAATAATTCCATTTCTTGCTATGTCTGCATTTTATAACACCATAGAATCAAAGTAATCTAACATGTTTCTTCTTTAGTAGTAGTTTTACTAGTACTAGCAGAAGAGATTTTTATATTAAATACACTTTACACATTTGTTAATTATTTGCTTTATTTTAGGGAGGTAATCCAACAGCTACTGTAATCGCATTGTGTTCAATGAGAGATTTCAATCTAGCTCAAGAAACTTGTCAGCTGGCCATCAGAGACATTGGGTGTCTTGAAGTGTTAATTAATTTACTTGATACAGAAGAAATTAAATGTCAGGTAAGTAGCTTTGTCTAATAGAGCAATGAATATGCCTTTTCTATTAGAATATTTTTTGAATTTTCAGAGTTGTGTAGTATAAAGAAAATTAACTTCTTTTCTCATTTGTGTATTTTCTTGATTTCAAGGATTTTTTAGAAAAAAATCAATTTCTTTGACTTTCTGTTTCCTTTTCTTCTGATTCAATTTAAAAGATAAGATGTTTTTGATAACCCAGCATTTAAAATAATTTTTCTGTTTATATATACTTCAATAATGGTCAACTTCTGTTTTCTTCCATTATTTAGATTGGTTCATTAAAAATCCTGAAGGAAATTAGTCAAAATACACTGATCAGACATGCAATTGCAGATCTTGGGGGCTTACAGATCATGGTGAAAATACTGGACTCTCCAGATAAAGATCTAAAATGTTTGGCAGCTGAAACAATTGCTAATGTTGCTCGATTTAAACAAGCACGAAGGACAGTAAGGCAGCATGGAGGAATCAAGAGACTGGTAAACAGACATTAAAATTTGTACCCTCATCATATGCATATTTTTGTCCAAAAGATAAGTCATATGTTGTACACGTGATTCGTGTGGTAGTATTTGCCATCATTAAAAAGCAGTATAATATCAAACTTCCCTGTAGATAATTAAAAAAATGGTTTTTTTAGGTTGGGCTGTTGGATTGTATTTCAGTGGGATCAACCAGTCTAACACCATATCAAGCAAAAGATACTGAAATAGCACGCTGTGGGGCTTTGGCGCTCTGGAGCTGCAGCAAAAGCATCAAAAATAAAGAAGCAATCCGTAAAGCTGGTGGCATTCCATTATTAGCTAGATGGCTCAAATGTTCGCATGCAAATATATTAACCCCAGTAGTGGGGACACTACAGGAATGTGCCTCAGAGGTGAGTAAACACATATAGCTAAGATATTTTTAATCATTAAAACAATTAGCTACTAAAAGGAAGCATTATGTTTGACTTTCACTTAAACCAGGGCAGTTATCCCATCAGGAAGTAGATGCTTTGTGTGGTCAAACTGTTTTTGAGGTGGTCACAGCTTGTAATGAAATAAAGACCACATATTTGTATTTAAAAGGCTAGAAGTAGTTTGTGAAAGAAAATAAAATCTTAAATAAACAAAAATAAATAAAAATTAAATCCTTAATCAGATGTTTTTCTTTTCTCATTTTTTTCACCATACTTGACAAATTTGGCAACTTAATACACTATATTCTGGTTAATCAGTTCATTTAAATTCTACAAAGCTAACCTGCAGATGTAGCCAAGAAGATCCAATGCAGTGCAGGGCAGTGTGGTTTACCGTGTTGTTGTGAATTGGGTAAGACGATGTCTGATCGATTTCAAAAAGAAGAAAGAATATATGTAATTTTTCTACAGATTTCCTTGGCAGGTTTCACAACTTTAAGTATATTCAGTTTTTAAATTTGAATAGAAGTATTTTTTACCATTGCCCATATAAGATGTGTGCTTATTTCTCCATTTGTGGAATCATATTTGAAATTAAGGTGCATTGCACATGAGTTCTCTTGGTGAATTTGAGACATGGAAGACATGATTTTTCAAAATGTTTTACATTATAAAACACTTTGTATTTGCAAAATTAGCTTCTTGAACTATACAGGTTTATGCATGCTCCATGCAACAGCAACCTGGCAGACTTTAGCTTCAGTAAGTCTATACTGAGAAGGTGAAGTTTTTGAGGGTTTCTTATCTGGCCAAATTTGGAAGTAACACTAAATGCATCTCTTACACAGATGGTTTCCCTTCTCGTAAATAATGGTCCCCTGTTACAATGCCTGTGGGTTAAAATTTGGAAGAAAAGATCACTAGCAAAATTTTAATTCTAAGAACATGTTTTTCTAACCTTGTTCTAGTAGTAGATCTGTTGTTCTGACTGCTGGCTCCTGATGAAATGAGTGGGTACTTCTTGATCCCATTTTGAAGCTTCTTTTTCTTCCTTGGCTCTGAGCAGGGAGTCTGGACACCTTTCGGAATATTCTGAATTCTGTTTACGCCAGGTGGCTACAAAATAGGCATTGCAGCACCTGGTTTTACAGGTGATTTGAAGAGCATTGCAGAGAATTTATGTATTTGATTAACTTTGAGAACATCATTAGTATTTTCAAGGCAAAGCAGATGACTTGCACTTAAAATAAAGCACAAATCTTCTCAGTATCAATGCCTAGAATTGTAGCACTGTATTATTATTGTGGCTAGGGTTATTATAGTGGTAATATACATGATTTAAAAGATGTGGTTTATCTTTTTAGCCAAGTTACAGACTTGCAATAAGGACAGAAGGAATGATTGAGAACCTTGTGAAAAATCTGAGTAGTGAACATGAGGAGCTTCAGATGCATTGTGCAAGTGCCATATTTAAGGTAATTGTATTATTATAATCAGTAGATCAGAGCCAGGATTAGCCCTTTGTTTTCATGTGGTTGTCAGTTTTAATATTTCTTAGTTTTACTATTTCTTTAATGTGTAAGAAATTACTTTATAGAAATGTTGATGGTCTTTGGCATAATTTTTCTGAGACTATTTTAACTGCATATTTAATATTATAATTAAGTTCCTACTTGCTCTTCTTGCGTTCAAGCCCTAAATTGCACAGGTGGTGGATGGAGAGATGTGGGGCATACTGTGCAAAGAGCTGCTTTGGTTTTTATGTTTGTTTGGCTACAAGGTGGACCATGTAGCTGTATAAGCCCTGCTGCATATACAGTAGTGGTTTACTGTCAAACTCTCTTAGTGAGTTGTTAGCATATTCAGATACTTTAATAAAATATTTATATTTTCATCTGTATTAGTTTCTACTATTTACAACATAATACACCTAGCTTTTGAAGACATCATTTTACACATTTTACCTAATATATGTATGTAATTTTTTTGTATAGTGTGCAGAAGATAAAGAAACACGTGACCTGGTAAGACAGCATGGAGGTCTACAGCCACTCTCTGTTCTGCTTGGCAACGCTGAAAACAAAAAACTTTTAGCAGCTGTGACAGGAGCAATCTGGAAATGTGCAATCAGTGGAGAAAATGTGTCAAGGTAACAATTTAATTTTACAGACATTTATTACATTATCCTGGTTTGATTTTATGGGCATCTATTGTTTTCGAAATTGTTATGTCATGATTCTTCAAAACCACATTTTATAATCAGTTGTGCTTTCAATTTTGGTTTTATAGTACCTAAAAAATTGCCACCTAACCTCATCAGGGTGGAAAAGTGTTAAGTTCCTAGAATCTTAAGAGTCAGTGGGGACAATTGGTGCCTCTAAAGAATAGTTAAGATATAGGACACCGAGTCAGGAGGTATGCCACCACATACTAAATGTTTGACATATGGGCGTATCTGATATCTCTGCTCGTCTATGTAGCTTACAAACTGGAATCACTGCTGCATGGTAGAGAGAGTAGCTAGCACACTTAGCTGTAATGTTTTACGTTAAAGAGAGCAAATTATCTCATTCTAGGGTAGATATCTAATACACGTTAAGTCCACCTACTTTAGAAATGTGGTGGAATCTAGGATAATTAGACTAGATGCCTCTCTCCTTGACTACAGAAGGGTCTCGGAAAAGTAGCTTAGTCTGGACACCCAACTTCTAAATGAGTGGAATTAACTGATGAGAGTCCTACCATAGGTACCTACAACCCCTCAGAGTCAGGGTTCTGAGTGATTATCTGAGAATGTGACAGCAGGAGTTATGACCCTCCACCTTTCATGGAAAAGAGCTTAATGATTGAGAATACTCAACCTCTTAATCTAAAATTAATTTATCAGATTCATGCACCTTACCTCAAAAAAAGCCTGCTCCACTGGAGTATGTGCTATGCTGAAGTTATGCTGCTCTGTACAGAGGAATGTAAGATTCATAGCCTGGAAGGAGTATCAGTAAGAGGTTACCTCTTCCTGCAGCCCTAATTTTAATGTAATTTGCTGGACAAGCAGATATGATAGATAACTGCTGGATAAAACTCAGAAAGAATTCTAGTAATAAGGGTTTACAGTCTGGCTTTTTACTGTCCTAAATAAGTTCCCAAACTGTTAGTATACAGAGCCATGGTCTTTACATACTCTACTAGTGTCCTATTACTTTTTGCATTCTTGAATCCACAGTAACCTGGCTTTTCAGAAGAGTATATCCTCCTTTTCTATGTACTTTTGGTATCTGCACAGAGGCATCCTGGTTCTGGATCAGTTGGTGATGAGACAGACTGAATGGCTGTCTCTGACCCTTTCAGAGTTTAGGCACTATGTTATGGCTATCCATACTGTTTATCTGCTAGCGCAGTCCCTTACACAGTTTGGCCTGTGCCAGCGAGCACTCTCCCAGACAATGCCCAGACACTCCTTGGGAACAGTGCAGGCAACAGATTGTTTCCATTAGGCAGAATGGGTGAGGCCACCCTGAATTGTGAGGGTAAGAGATTTTAGCCATATGGATGCTATGTTGTGCTTCTTGTCCTCAGGGCTAGAGAATGAGCCATCGCCTGTTTTATTTATTAGTATAGCTGTAGCCAATAATTCTGTCCAAATGCAAACAGATTTTTGTGGGGCTACTCACATATCTTTGGCAAGTGCTTGACACTTCACAAAGGTTGCTAGCCAGGCGCAACTCTAGACTTCAGCTGAATTCATGCATTATGTTGTGCTGAGGCTGAAGCAGTAAACCCTATCCAAACTCAAGATGGGAGGGCACTACAGAAAAGGGAGGATAACATAAAAAACGTGTAAGTAGATCTGGAGGGATGAGCTTGAGTCTGGCATGAAGCTAGAACTGACAAACCCTGCTGGTTCCTGCAGGGCCACTTAATTATCTTCAAACTACTCCACAGTATTTCCTATACCTGAAGCACATTGCTGAGATGTCGTGCTGACGCAGCAATGAGCCGATGCAGGTGCCTGGGCCTGACTAGCTCAGATTCCAATTTGCGTGCAAGCAGCCGTACTGCTTCTGGACACAAGATGGCCCGAGCCAACAGCTCTGTCAGAGTGTAGCCTGCCCATTGCAGAGCCAGCTCATATCATTCCATCTGTGAGGCAGTTGATATGCAACACAGATAAAGTAGCCAGAGAAAACGAGGGGTTTTTTTAATTGTTTGCTTGGTTTTTTACTCTTTTTTTCATACTGTTGATGTTTTCTCTTAAAAAAAATTTATGGGAATACTTCCAAATTATAGTGAACAAAGAGAGGAATATTCCTCCTTAAGCAAAGGTTTGAATCATGAAAAATGAAAGTTTCTCATTTCTCGGTTATTTTAATTGTTGATAAACCAGCTTGGAAAGGTTAACTTTTATTGAAACAGTTCCAGTTCTGCCATCAAAATCTCAAAAATACTAATTTTTTTGTATTGATGAAAAGCCATATGTACAACGATTCCTGGAAAACAGAGTATTTGTAGCTCCAGTAGACATTTCCAGAAGCTAGGGGCCATGAGGGAAGCACAAATGAGAACTCTGTACCCTCAGAGAAGTTGTCTCTTTAGTGGAGGAGCTATGTGTATTTACACAAAGGTATAATCAAAGCATAATTACTGGATAATATACAGGTTAGATCTAGGTTGATATACCAAGTAGAATTGTCAAAGTGTATCATAGAAAGTGTGTGAAAGGAAGATACAGTATTTGTTGTGTTAAGAATCTTCTAAGTTCTGAACAAAACGAAGTTAGAAAACAACCTCAGTACTGAGGAGTAAAGTCCTGTTCTGAAAGATGAACTTCTGAGGTTTAGCATGCATCTGTCTGTAGGATGGGACCTCCAGGATTTTTAAAAACATATTTTTGATTTTCAGTACTGAAAGTGCTATGAAGAATGAGGGAAGTATTCATATAGCAGTCAACTCAGATTTCTGTCAATTATTTGATTTCAAAATGGAATCTAACATGGTTCAATAGAAAAGTACTAGAACTATAGGTCTGACCTTAGGAAAATGCACTTATTAGGCCTGAACGAAGTACAAACTGGTCAGGCCAAACCCTCTAAAGGCACCATTTAGTGAAAAGTGTGGGGTGATCCTTTGGCTCAGAGGGGTGGAAGAAGGTCTGATACACTACTACTCTAGCTATTGTTAACATGACAGGAAAAAGTACTGGAAGTTAGGATTCCACAGTACTTGCTGGTCTTCCAGTATGTTCTTAGCTATTTATAGATGTTGCATCCACAAGTCAAGTTTTAAAAACCCTTCAAACTACTCTGCAGATTCCTAGATAGCTAAATTAGAGAAAGATATTAAAAAAGGTAGAGTAAGAAATTCTGCTGTATGTCACACTTTCAAGAACTGATTGAAGTGGTTCACCTGTATTGTGATTTCTTCAACAAGATACTTTACATACAGAAATGAAACATTATAATTCAATCATAATTATACTTTAATTATAAAATTAAACTTATAACAGTAACATACTGAAAATAAAAGCTTTGATTGTATTTCTCTATTTCAGATTTCGAGAATATAAAGTTGTAGAAGCTTTGGTAGAACTGCTCACTGACCAGCCTGAAGAAGTTCTTGTAAATATTGTCGGAGCACTGGGAGAATGTTGCCAAGAGCCAATAAATCGAACTATTATCCGTAAATGTGGTGGAATACCACCTCTAGTGAAGTTACTTACTGGCACTGATCAGGCACTACTTGTTAATGTCACCAAAGCAGTGGGAGCTTGTGCAACAGAACCTGAAAACATGATGTAAGCTATTCGTATTCATCGCATTTAAATATTGAATAAAATTTTTTTTTTAGTAATTCAGGCACAAATATAGTCAAGTCTAATCTGACTTTAGAGGACATTTTACTTTTTGTTTTCTACAGGGCTCTTTGAGTTAGTTTACATCCTACTGTAAAATGTGCTGTGTAAATATATATATATAAAATTAATTAAGGAAGTATATACAATGTAAAGCTTTTACATTTTGGGGAAAATTAGATAAACCTTTAGTAAATTGATTTTTCTTAAAGTTAAAATTCAAAGTTACAGAGCATCTTTTTAAAGTACTGTATGATAGGTACCTGTTTTGCCTTCTCCTTTTACATCTGTTGTCAAATCATAAATAATAGTCTAAATTAGAGAAAGTAATTCTAAAAGAAAATGTGCACATTGTCCTGAGAAATAATTTTAAAATTCTTAAAATAGAGTATTATTTGTATTTTATCTGTTTTGTCCCTCTCCATCATTCCTTTTTGAACTCAGACAATTTTTTTTACCCTTTTCTCCCCTGTTACTCCTTTGCAAAACCAAAGAAAAAGACTCTTTTTACTGAGAGAGTTGCTGCTCCCTTTGGTTTTGTGATGTAGATTTATACAGCTTACAAAGATCCTTGAGCTTTATGATTAAGTGTTCCAGTTAAATGTTGAGGTCGGCATTTACTGTGCTTACTGTTCCCTTACAGGGATATTTACCTCAAGATTCTCGGCATATTTCCCTCCTTATATATAAGGAAGGTCAGAAAGAGAGTTTTATTAAGCTCCTCCTGTTCTGATTTGCATAATTCACTTGATATTCATATAGCAGTGCAGGGAATTCTTTTCCTGAATAGGGCTTTTGTTTTCATGCTTTGGCTGTCACCCAGTGGCAAAAGGCTAGATGGTACACAACTGTAAACATGAGTTGTACGAACAGTTAGCCATGTAGCACAGAAGTATACATAAATGAAATCACTTTCATGACATATCTCACTAAAAATCAACCTTTAGAGTAATGTATTAACCCAATAGAGTTAACATTGTAAATCAACTGGGAAAATTAATTGCCAATAAATATAAATTGATATTTATAAAACCTCAGACATACTCCAGTACTCAGGAATATCATGTGTAGTATCCAGTACGGATAGTTTCATACTGGAACATGATCCAGTATAAGCACCAAAAATAACACAAGTTGCTGCTAAAATTGTGATGAACAAAGTCCATCTTGTTTTTAAGAAGGAGAGAGTACAGGTTGTTTGGGACAAAATTTTATGGAGTTTGCAAAGAGTGGACAAAGTGATCAAATGTTGAATTTGGTTCATATGAAAAAATTCTCTGTTGAAGGTTCTCAACTTTTAAAATGTTTTTAAAAAATATTTTAAAACATTAACAAGTAAGCAAAATCTTAGATCAAGAGTAGAATATACTTTTTATGACTACAAAAAAAAAGGTTGCACAGAAATTATTATTATTAGCAAGACTGTGATATGTACCTGATGTATTGTGCTATTTAGATTTGTAATACTGGAAGAGAAAATGCTGCTAGCTTTTTCCAAGGTGTGATTCATCCAGGTGTGGATAAGGTTGATACCAATCCAGCAAAATATTTAAAAGCAATGCTTAGTTAAAACATTGACACCAGTGCAACTACTCACATGTTTAAAGTATTTGCTTGGTTGAGTGCTCTGCCTCTTGCAGGGTTAAGATAATAGATTCACACACACATACACAAAAAAGAAAGAAAAAAAAAAAGACATCCATTCCTCTCCCTTCTCCTCCTCTCAGACCAGTAGAGTAGGAATTTAAATTGTCCTCATCCAAACTGCTCTCCTCCTTTTTGGGAAAAATAAGTCACCAAAGACATGAAGCGTACAAAGTCTGTAGCATCATTTTGTTCCATTTACAGAATGTGGGACTAAAACAGTAAGTAGTCTTGTTAGAAAGTACTGTGGAGTTCATTCTCTTTCTGTAAACCTTTTCTGAAGTTCTTAATCAAAAGGACATATCTTAACAAGGATGTAGAGATGTGCCAAGATTGTCTTATAGAAAGAAGTAAAGCAAAGCCTCTTGTAGCCTGTAAGCTTATACAGGTGATGAGAACTTCCAGTTGCAGTTTGATACTTAGCTGTTTCTGGTCTTCCTGGTTCATCCGGCTGGATCCCTATTACATTCCTTATTTCATAACCACTTATTCCTCAGAATGGTTTGACAAGTTCTAGGAGATGAGTTGTTCTCTACTATTAGCTTTTCTACTGGCAAATTTGGGTTACAGGTCTTAAAACTTGTTTTCTTTGTGATCTGGTACAGACAAACACTGTTTAAAGAGTTACTCTTTTAGTTTGGTGCTACAGAAATTCTGAAAACTATGATGATTTTTCTGGACTTTTCATTGACTTTCATATTTACTGGAAACCCAGAACAAAGCAGGAAAATTTAAAGGGAGTATCAAGCCCTTAGAAGGATTGAGAATTTTCAAATATATTCTTACATTTCATTAGCTCTGTGTGTGTTTAGCAAAGTGTGGATTAGAGACTAAATATTCAGTTGAGCAGGCTTCTATTTTGAATGTGGTTATACTTGCAGCAGTAGGTATGTGGAAACCATACAGACCAGGAGTGGAGCTTAGGTAGTTTCTGTGAATGATTCAAGGGTATGTAATGAACAGGATGGGATTAATATAAGAAATAAAAACCCGAGTGTTCTATGAAACAGTGCAGTTAACTTCTTAGGGAAATACTGTACATTTATCATATGTTCCATGGAGGAAGCCTGCATTGACAAAGAGAGAAGACTGGTACATCAGCATAGGTGAATCTACAGCTTCTATATGTGTTTTATATATTTTATCTCTATCACGTTTCCTAGCTGACACTTTAACTTCTGCATCTACTGAGTAGAAGGTATGATAGTGTTGCTTTTCTGCACCAAGCCTTTACTTCAAGGCAACTTCAAGCAATTAAGTGATTCTTATTGACTCAATTGAGCTATATAAAATAAAGAACAGCAGCCAACTTCTCTCACAGCAAAAAATAAGTTGACTTTTCTTAAAAAAAAGCAAAACTATGTGACTGAACTTCCTTACTATTATGTGGACAGCGTGAAGTTGTTCTCCATACTCAGTCTGCTGCACGGCCACTGAGAGAGATGCTGCTGCACATCTTTTATGTACATTTGTCTTTTTGAGGAACTTTTTGCAAGTTACTGTCTTTCTCTTACTAAAAACAGAGGACTAGTGTGTATTCTTTAACTGCCACTAGATTTTCATTTGCCCTTTTCATTTGAAAACCTATAGACCTCATCTCTAGCGTTCAAAACTAGGGGTTTAGAATCTTATAAACTAAAATGTACAATTATTTTCGCCAAACAGATGGAGTTTGAGTCATTGGTATATAATACTATTTATCAAAGCAGTCCACAGCAACTAGTGAAAGTTTTAAGAAACATGCTAAATTGTGGTTTCAAAAAAGACAAGATTACATTCTGCCAGAATTAAACCCTGTAATCTTACCAGTGAGCACAATACAGAGTCAGTATAATTTTGTTTATTTACATTTGTATTTGTGGTCTAAATTGGCAGGCAATTAAACTAGACTTCTCAAAAGTTCTGGCAAATAACTGTAACAGAAAAAGATGATAGAGATGACAAACAGATGTCTAGGCTGTGTGTATGCATGTGTGTTTAAGCAATTCATGTTGAAGTTTCTACTGGAAATGTTCAATATTAAGTTTGAATTTGAAAGAGAAGTACTATTTCAGATAAACAGCTTTCCTAGTTTCAGATATATAGAAAAACCCAAAGTGAATTTCTAGAATTGTAACCCACATCTTGCAGAGACATCTCATGATATTCAATGATGTCATGATATCAAGGTTCTTAAATGAAATAATGTGAAAAAAATCTTTATTAAACAACTGTTGACTGTAAACAGCCAACAAAAGTAATTAAAAAAATTATCTTGTTAAATTATCTTCACTGGTCAAATAGCAAATACCAGTGCACAGTAATTTGAGATTTCCCAGAGGCTGTCCTAGACACTCCAGTAAGCTCTGAATGGGTTTAATTGCATTAATATTATTTGCCCATAAGACGTATTCCATATGTCAACTGTTCTGAAACCAGGAAGATGTTTTGCTCAAACACCTTGCAGTTTCCTTTTTGTAGGAGTGATGTCAGCTGCATACCCCTTCATCTCTGCTCTAATCATGGCTGGACAGCACAGGAGTGCGTGATAGGAGTGCCTCTTCACTCCAACTATTTCTAACTGCCAATACAAATACTTTTGATTATTTTGAGGAGCAGACTAATTTACACTTTGAATTGTATCAGTGGTCAAATAAGAACAATCTATGACAAGGCACAGAGTTTTGAATCAGAAGAGGTGGCTGCTGGCTATCTTGGTCTGGTCTATTGGGAGATGCCTCTGCTATGTTAAGGTATAGAGCAACAATAGTTCAGAATCTGGGCTCTTGCTTCTGAACTTTGCATATTTATGTATTGTTCTGTACTTATAGTGAAGGACCAGGTGGCAATTACCTATACTAAAGTTTACATTTCTACTTTGGGTGACTTTCATGCCTGTTAAGATTTTGACTAATACATGAGGTACGTTACATACATGTAGTTCAGCTATTCCCTAAAGCAGTTAAATATTTGAACTTTAATCTGTGAAATCTCAAGATTTTTTAATGTCAACTAAATACTGTATTATTTCAGCTTTTATGAGATTCTCTTCAGCTTTCAAAGGAACTGTTCTACATCTTTATTAAAAGAAGTGTCCTTTAACAGTCCCATGAGTGGTTGTTTAATACAGGTTTAACTGTAGTTTAATTTTATCATCATCATCATGTCGTCAAATTATTATAAAATATATCATTTAAGTGACTGTAACCACAGAGTGACTAATGTACTAGCTATGGATGAATACAGAATTGAATGCCAACCAAAGTAAATTTTAAGGTATATTTGCTTGTATTTATTGTGGTAAGTAGCTTTATTACAGCATCTTGCTAATAATGTTATAATAAATTTTGGGAAGAAAATTAGATACAAAAGCTATATACAAAAACAGATCTAAATATTTAGTGTAATGCCATCAGAGCTGAACTTTTCAAGATTACAGGTCTATTTTCCCATCTCTTGCTTTGTTTATTTGTAAAGAAGCCTAAAAGTGTTTTTTTGTCCACTTTAAAATGGAATTTTCACATAGAAAGGAAACTAATGTCTAAGCACTTTTATAGAAGAAACATTTTTCAGGGCCATTTATTTTAGTGTTCCTTTTGCTTTTATGGCAGATATGCTCATTTAACACCCAGTTTCTTCATCTGCTACATTGTGCAGTGAAACCATAGAAAGATAAAAAATTGAACTGAGAAAGGATTAATCACTTGTTTAGCAATGCTTTCTTTAATTGGCAAATACATATTCTCAGCAAGATGAAAATAAAAGGGTTTGTGCTTGTATTGTGATTACACAACAATAATTCTTCCAATATGAGAATTTAAGAGCATCGTTCTTGTAAGTAGAGTTCTTTTCATTTGAATTAATCTGGTGTAACTGAGAGAAAGCAGTAATCGAGAGATGAACAATGTACTTTGGAGATTTGTTTGTTTTGTCTGTACTGTTTTTTAGTTTGATTTTATACATCTTGTGTGGATGGAGGACTACACTTTCAGATATTCTGAGCTGTTCTGTTGGGTGTAAGGCAACTGGTCTTTCTGGTCTTCAAGCAAAAAGGCAAAACTCTTCTTTAGAAAATGAACCATAAAGTAAGGCTAGTTTACCTTGAAAAGCTGAAAAGAAGTCAAGAAAACTGAAAACAAAATGAAAGTAAACTTTCAATTGAAAAGGAAGCTTTCAAAAAAATAGAAAGGAAAGACAAATCAGCCTAGAGGTTGGTTTTTTTTACGTGTGGTGGAAAAATTTGAGCTCAGTGTTTGCCTTCTATCTCTTGATTTTTATATACTGGTTGGAGCATTTATATTTAGCCCCTCTTGGGAGGAAGTACCTCGTGTCGGTAAATGGTCAGTACTCTGCTTGACTAGAAGAAAGATTCATGGGTTCTTTTTCAATTAATTCCCATCTAGGAAAAAGTTCCGTGTGCTTTCTGAAATTATAGGAAAGTAATGTTAACATTGCTTAAAAGTGTTGGGAGTTTGGAGGGATTTAAAAGCTTGTTTTGAAGCTTTTAATTAAGTCATCCTTACTATGTTGAACATATATATGTAAATGTGTAGTTTGTGATCATGCTGGTTTATTTGCATAAAATCATAGCATGACCTGAGTTGAAAGAGACCTTGAAGATCATCTAGTTCCAACCCCCCCTGCCGTGGGCCGGGACACCCTCCACTAGACCACATTGCCCAAAGCCCCATCCAGCCTGACCTTGAACAGTTCCAGAGAGGGAGCGATGCATTATGATTTCTGAATTTGTCATTTGAATGCTGATTGATTTGGAGCTGAGTATGTAAAATGAGCTGTATTAAAATTAACAGATCTGAAATAAGTTATAGTGTCTCAACCATAGCTTTGTGCAAAAAAGTATTATTTTGAAAAACATAGTTGTTTAACCAGTTTGCATAAAATCATTATGAATAAAATCCATGGTTATTTTGGACAGACTTCTTTTATACAGTTGAATTTTTACTTTTGAGGTTAGAAAATGAAGGTATATTTGCTTTTCTTTATCTTCAGCTCATCTTCTTTGGGTTTAACATATTTTTTTGAAAAAAGGCATGTTTGTAATGGCTATTAAGTTTTGTTTGACCTTCCTTTCCTTTTAAGGTATTCACTGGACCCTAATGTGAAGTTATGGTCCCCAAGCCTGATTGATATGTAAACATAACACAGATGGTGTAGAGATGATTCTGATGATAATTCATTTTTCAGCTAGTCACGAAGATACTTTGCAGTGTGTTTAAGAAATTATAACATAGTGTTCAGTGTTAGTCTTGTTTGTAAGGAACACATGGGAAACAAGTTACACGTTATTCGTGCCCAACAAAGGATGCACTGTGGTGTGACCATTTTAATTTCTAATGCTAGATTAGAAACATAGTATTTTAAAATATGTCATAGAGTAAGGTAAATACATTAAGCATAGACTGAATAAAAAGTTAAGTACATAGTTTTGGGCATAAATATTTGTTTTGGAAAGTATTTGTTACTATATGAAAGAAGCCAGTATGCTTGAATTCAGATTTCACTTTGCATGCAGATCATTAAAAAGTCACATGCTTGTTTTCATGTTTAAATGAGTTTTGGTTATAATGTATTTTACTCTATCTTCTATAAGCATTTTGAATGACAGTGCTAAGAAAAAAGTAAACAGCATTAATGAGATTTAGTTAGAAAACATATTCTGTCTTTACATCATTTGTTCACACCCGTCTGCTATAGTAAGCAATGTTTAGTGACTATGTTGATGGTGATGAGCTGACAATAAAGCACAAGCAGTTACATAAAGCAAACCACTATGTTAAAGAAAATATTTATTAAAGCAGTGTTCCAAACAAACTGATATAATTTAAAATTTAACATTTTCAACTCCGTAATTCATTATCTCTTTTTTTTATCTGTTTCTGCAATAGGATAATTGACCGTCTAGATGGAGTTCGTTTGTTATGGTCATTGTTGAAAAATCCTAATCCGGATGTTCAAGCAAGTGCAGCTTGGGCTATTTGTCCTTGCATTCAAAATGCTAAGGTAAGAAAGTGTTTAAAGTAATAGTTTTGCTATGTATATACTCACATATAATTTTTATATTTGGATGGTTTCCAGCAATGCTTTGCTCTTGCCTTCTTACACTCTCTTTATTTCATTCTGTTAACTGCTTAAAAAAAAAAAAGATCTATTCACCTTTCAAAAGTGAATAGTCCTCCATCTAGCTCTCATTATAGCATTCTGGTTTGCCTTTACAGTGCTTACTGTAGTTGGAAAATATATTTTAATAACTTATCAGGAGCTAAACTTACTGTTCCCAAATAAATCATGTTGAAAATCTGACAATGCTGAAAACAGAAAGGTTCTACTCACAGGCTATGAATAGCACAGGTAATTGTAGTTGTTCTCCACTATGAGGTACTTCAGCTATGTTCTCCAGAGACCGTCATTTGGTTTCAGAGCATATTTGAGACTCAGTGCCAATGTAATCCTTAGATTTTCTGCTCAGACTGCCAACAAAAAGTGCCAGTTGTGAATAGTGGTTGTTGTGCAGGTCAGTTGTGCACAGAAGACTGAGCTATTCATTTATTTCGTGTCAGTTTCCAAATAGAGATAAAATGGTGAGTATAAGCTGTAAGTCATCTTTAGTGAATTCTTACCACTGACCTGTGGTAAAATAAATGGGGAAGGTTTTGTTTCCCATTAGAAGTTTGCTGGAATGCTAACTAGACTTTTATCCTTAATCCTTGTACAGTAATATCTTCCATTTCTAATTTACCTCCATATTTAATGCAGCTTTTGCATCTTCTCTCTACTGTACCACAAATATATATCCTTCTACATATCATTTGAGATCCTGACTGTGTAAAGAAGGGAAATTCCTTCAAAGTGCTGGATATCCTTAGCATTCTTTGCAGGCAGTATTTCCTATTTGATGCTAAGCACTGTACAGTTGTTATTTATTTATATAGATGGATGGATGTAGATACAGATACATGGATGAAAGTATTGTGAGAACATTTGGTCTTGATTTTTATAACTTAAGCATTTTCTATTTCTTCACAGTGATTTCCACAGTGGCAGCTTGCTTGCCATTTTTCAAGCATACTGGTTATTCTGAATTATCTTTCCATCTTTTTTTTTTAAACATATACTCTAGTATAATGAAGCTTTTTGTTACCAAGTGGTGGGGGTTTACATGTCTCATCTGTCAAGATATGACTATACCTGTCTCTCTCTTGAACAGCATTGCTATAACTGAATGTTAAAATATTACTTGTCTCAGACCTGAGGTAATACTTATTATGTGTAAGACTCTGCAACCTGTAGTGCTGGAGTAGAACTCCACATTGCTAGAGCTTCCACTAAAAGCACTTTTTCAGAAACTGAGGTGATAGAGGACAGCTACTGAAATTATAGACTACATGGATTTTTTTTCTTGGGTTTTTCCCCCTGGGTATTTGACGAGTGTAGGCTATGTTCATCCTTAGTGTAGCCATCCTCCTTTCATCTGTCTTGGCTGCCTGCCCAAATGCTAATCTGTGACCCCACAAAGAGTCCTTTGTGTGAGACTGAGGCAGAGTGGCACACTGAAACAAACCTACCAATAATACCCTTTCCTCTGACACTGAATGGAAAGAAATATGTATAAAGCAGCAATTATAGCCGCACTGTGGAAGTGCAGTAACTGTTTCTATCTAAACAAAATTTTATATTTTTTTTATTCAAAGTTAATAATATTCAACAATTTACACAATCTTCCAGGAAGCACAGTTTGGTTTATGCAGTGCTTGATTCAAAAGCAGTAATAAGTATATGACTTTAAAAGGATTATGTGCATTCTGGCTTTTCCAAGCCTGTGCTTGGAACTGCAAACCATGTTTCAAATAGCTGTGAGCTTGGAATCTGGATTTGTTTTCTTTTTGTGTTCTTTTGTGGAAGCAGTAGTGGTTCTCTTCTGTAATGTGGAGGTTCATAGATGAAATAGAACTTGTTAATAGTGTCAGAAACAGATTTTTATAACAATGTAGTGCAGCATCCATTTTTCTGCACAGACATTTTCTGTAAATACAACTTGAAGGTTATTTTATATGATATTTATGAAATCTTAGAAGCTAATCTATCATACTGATATGGCTGTTATTGCCATAGTATGTGAATACACGATTATCTCTCATGCACTTACTCTCACTATAATCTGTTTAAGCTTGGAAAGTCTACCATTTCTGTGTTACCATTAGTGGGATAAGAGTCACAAAAGGCCCGGACTTGAATTCTCAAGATGTTTAGGTGCTAGCTGTTTCTGAGCTTTCGGGTCTAACTAGTTTGCCTGCTGTTAGACAGGAAGTTAATTGCAAAGGGAGCAGAATTCAACTTCCCATAACCCTAGATTATATATGTCAACAGTTACATTATGGTAGCTGGTTCACAGTACTTCCCGTAGAATAGAATTGTATCAGTGTGATACAGCAAAGTGATATTGTCTGTTACAGCAATAGGATATAGGTCAGTGATATTGGGTTCATGACAGATCTAAAACTTTTTAAATAGAGGATATAAATTGTATACTGTAGTACATAAACTGTTACAGCTCTGAGAGCCATGATATTGCTTTGGTATCAGTCATCACTTCTGTATGCCAGCATTAGTTCTAAATATTTTTAGCCTTAAGAATTTCTTGTAGAGTGAAGATCTTACAGGTAGGCTGGCAGCGATATAATTTGGGTGGTAGAACTCTCCTGAGAAAATTTGCGCAGCACCTGTGATTGCGACTTGTGAGTCTTAGACAAATATCTCATGATTTTGCATAAATTAGTTCATACATTTCTATCAAATATAAGACTTAAAGAGACAAGAATGTAATTTATTCAAAGGAATTATCTTAATAGAAGCAGATTCTTATTAATTAGTTCCTTAATTCCAAAAGGAAAAGCTACTACTTCAGGCACATTGGTAATGACAAAGTGTAAGTGCACTGTCCAAGAAACACAAATGATTATGAAAAATGGCTAAGAAAAGTCTTCTCAACTGTGTTGATATTGGAACAGCAATATTTGGTTGTGATGCTTATTTGAAAAATAGTATTTATAGTGTTCTCCCAATGTACATCATCCCAAACAGAAAAATTTAGAGGAACTCTACAAAGATGTTATTTGGGCTATTATAAAATTCATCCAAAGGCATTGTGCCAGGAAGAGGAACACTGCCAGCTTGAGTTTGTATGAAAATACCTATTTCCTCATAGAGTAACCTTTAAATAGTATGCCTTGAAATAAAATTAAAAAAAAGTTGTAGAGGTTATTTTCCATCCTCATATTTAGTAGAGTTTTGGGTGCAAATATTAGAATAGGAATGGTAGATTCAGGCCTCATCCTTTCCTCTGTCTTTTGTCTGTGCTTGTGTATCAGCTTTCAAAGTTTCAGTTTTAGCCTTTGTTATAGCTACAACTGTAAAGGTTTTCTTAGAGAACTTCAGGAAGCCAGCTATGTACAAAATCTGTCAAAATAATTTAAGTAAACAGTCTGAGATTGGGAATTGGAGGGAAGAGAGAGGGAAAGTTATTCTATTGTCTTAAAAAGTAGTTGCAAAATGACATCTCACACTTTTCTGGGAAAGCGTGATTTTTTTCCTCTTCAAGTTCATGTGTCCCTTTCAGCTCTGCAGTGGGATTTCATGGGTGGGATGAAGGATGGTCAGCCATCTAAAGTTGTCTGTGTATTTCTTACACATGGGGAAAGAGAATGTCCATGCTGACACACAAAAAAACCCAAAATCGAAACTAAACCAGGTTTAAGAGGAAAGGGTTATGAGATGGGTACATGTGAAGGTCAAGTAGCCTTCACTCTTGCACAAGTATTATATACTGAGGAAGTGACTTCTACTGGAGCCAGCTGTCTGGAGTTAACCTGTAGGTGGAAAAGAGGCTGCTGATGACCCATGCTATTTAGGATTCTTAGATTTTGTTTGTTATGGAAATTTTAATGTAACCATATGTGTAAAACTACAGAGAACATTTCTTTACTAAAAGTAACAAAGAAAGGTAGTTGAATTTGGAAATTCTTCTGATATTTAACAAATAAAATTATTTGCTGTTTTAAATGAATTAAGATGCTTTGTTTACATATTTTACTAATTTAAAACTGTAGTGTATAAAGATCAGTTATGCCCCATAACGCACACTGTTGCTCATTTTGTTTATATTTTTAAAATTTTACTTAAGTAGTACCAATACATTTTTTTCTTTACTTATCATTCTTTGGTTAAGCCTATAATGTCAAAATTCCCTGGTCGAGTATGTACAGCATTTTCCAGTTTCTTTGTTTTCCTTGCTATGCTTCTTGCAATTCTATACAGAAAACCTTGGCAGTTCAAACGTAGTGCTCTTACTGCTCCTTTCCATTTTCCCATTTGTTTTCTCTAAACATTATCATTTTCAACATAAATCATACCTACTTCTCTATATTTGATCTCATTTTTATGCAGTTTTTAATCCCTGATATCTGGATGTACTTTCCAACGTTTAAGTGTTTGTTATGAGCTGAACTTCAAAAGAGTACAATAAGAGAGACAAAAAGAAATTTTTTGCTTGCCCCTCAGACCTTCCAGAGCACCAGGGTCCCTGGAGATTTAGGAAGCCCAGCAAGTTAGACTTGACTTAGTGAATCCATAGCTGGCTGCCATGCTCGCCAGGGTGCATGCAAAACCAGCCCATGCAATGATTCTTGACTCAAGCTGTGTAGAAGTTTAGTAACCACTTATCATGAGGAATTTGGGCCTCCTATAGGTATGTTGCCATAGAGATCCTGAATGAACTGCCATAAATTGCCCTGAGGTCCTTAATGTCTACAAATACAGGAGTACGGTTCCTGTAAAACACATATCCTGAAAACTGGGAAGCAAAGGGAAACTAAGAGCATAACCCATATCTCCCTCATTGGGGAGCCTCAGATTGTAAGTTCCATGCAAAGCAGCTGCTTGAGAGCTTGAAGACCATAAGAAGCCAAAAAGCTTAGGAGCTCCTGGAGACCTGGTTTTCCAGCTGT